TTGGAGAGATTCTAAGTACACAGATCATCTCTCACCGAATTCTAAATCTCTTCTGGGAATTGGCCATAATGGACAAAAGTCTACATGTTTTGGCTTGAAATAGAGGTTAATGATTCTCAGAGTGACTTTGTTCATACACTCAGATCAAGCACTGGCCATAGGATTTGCTACTCTCTGCACTTGGGGAATTCAGGAGCAATGCCACCAGCAAGCCTAGACCTGCATCCTAGAAGTGTAAACACACCAATATAAACATGAATGACTACACAGGCTGACCATATTCATTTTTGCAGAAAATTAAATTTAATGTTGAATGCTCTGCTTTACATGTGTATTTTTCCCTTTCCCAAAAGAGTTATAAAGTTCTTACCATTTATATGGATAAAATTTGGTGGGAAGATACATTTTCACATAAACTAATAATAAGTGTTTAAATAACAATAACTTTCTGATAAGTACCACTTAAGCTGTACAAAGATAAGGGTGTTATTGTTGCTGTCATTACTTAGTGACAGTGAGCATAGATGATTAATTTTTAGCATTAATGAAGGCCCTTAAGGACTAGGGACTTCCTAGGAGAGGCATGGGATGAGTCACCATGATTGTTGTTCCCTTAGAAATGTATATAGCCGAAACCGGTTTGGCTTAGTGGATAGAGCGTCGGCCTGCAGACTGAAGGGTCCCGGGTTCAATTCTGGTCAAGGGCAAGTACTTTGGTTGTGGGCACATCCCCAGTATGGGATATGCTGGAGGCAACTGATTGATGTTTCTCTCTCATCTATGTTTCTGGCTCTCTAGCTCTCTCCCTTTCTCTCTGTAAAAAATCAATGGAATATATTTTAAAAAAAGAAATGTATATAAAATCTGGCACTTCCATAATAACTTATTACTTATCTTTTCACAGAATCTTCAGTTTTTCAGGCAAAGTATTTAAAGTCAGTAGAAATCAAAATAGGGATAGTCAAATCATGACATAGAAAAGCAACATTGTTAGGAGAAATCCAGTAAAAAGTGGTCTGCTAAGTTGTCCAGCCTGGGATGGTTTATATTAGAACAATGTACAAAAACTTGATATTAGGCCCAGCAATAAAAAGTTGGTTTACCTGGAGCAAATTTCCATCAATATAGTATAAATAAAAGATTTGTTACTGAAATCTGTGGATGTCTACAAAATTTACCTTATTCTCTTGACAGTGAAACATAATGGGGTTTGTCAATATCCATAAATATTTTTACATGGCTTAATATTCTTATTGGAGAAGGCGAAGGGGGGAGAGAAGAAACATAAAATAAGGCAAATGTGATCTGGTTTTCAGTAAGTACGTAAAAAGTCAGATTTCCTTTATAAGAATTGCATATCAAGAAAATAAATACACATATCTTGTATGCCTCTTGTGTATGATTCAAAGGTTAATAAAATACTGTCTTTATTCTCTCTATAAAAACATCACTCCAATATAGGAAGTGGTCCTTTTTGTTAACCACAATCTGAACTTTTTACCTGAGAAGCAAACACAGAGCTAGATGGATAGGTTTTTATTAGTTGAAGAGGCCAATGGAAGACTTGGCATGAGATTTATGAGGTTTGCCTAGCCTACTATCATTTGAACTATCTGCTTTGGCAAAAAGCTGTTTTTACTTGTTGTCCTTAACTATTGTAGATGGCAGTTTCATTTTCAGCTCAGCTAGATAACCAAGTGACTTACTTTAAGGGGTGAGATGGATCTAACTCATTTCCTTACATTTTGATGTTATATGTATATGATAGCCTTCTCATTTTTTAGCTGTTTCATATAAATCATTCGAATAGGTATTTTAAAATGTTTATTTTGAAAATTAGTCTTACAGAGCAATTGTATAGGTGGCACAGAGAGCGCCCACACATTCCGTGCCTAGTTTCTTCCAATGTTAACACCTTACATAACTATGGTACAATGACTTTAAAATTAAAAAATTAACCTTAGTATACCATCATTAACTAACTTACAGATCTTACTCAGATTTTTCCAGTTATCGCACTAATATCTGTTTCAGGATCCAATCCAGGATCCTACATTGAATGTGTTGTCACGTCCCCTTAAGCCCTCTTCAACTCATTCCTTGAATGGGGTGTTATGGGTTGAATTGTGTTCTCCAAAAACCCACATGTTGAAGTCCTAGCCCCGACTGTTTCATAATGGGACTTTGGAGTTAGGGTCTTTACAGAGGTAATCAAGTTAAGGCCCCGTAGAGTGGGCTCTACTTCAGTATGACTTGATCTCATAAAAACAGGACATTTGGACCCAGATGCACGCACAGAGAGAAGATGATGTGAAGATGCAGGAGAGATGCCTGGAACACATTCTTCCCTCACAGCCCTCATAGGACCAATATTGCTGACACCTTGATCTGGGACTTCCAGCCTCCAGAATCATGAGGTAATCAATTTCTGTTGTTTAAACCACTCAATTTATGGTACTTGATTGGCAGCCCTAGCAAACTAATGTACTCAATCTTTCTTTATCTTTCAATGTATTGACACTCTTTTAAAAAAATGACTCAATGGATGTCCTAGCTAGTGACATAATTAAACTGCTATTATACTACCAATTTTAAGAACATGTATTATGTGCTTACTGAGGTCACTTTCTAGGAGCTGCTATTGCCTGTGTCACTGTTAATATGTTCTAAACAAGACTTACTATGTGCCTAACATTAGCTCTGGCTTTACCATTTAATTCTCTCCATATCCCTTTGAGGTAGGTACAGGAGAAATTGTCTTATCTAGAATGGATATCTAGTCATATAATTGAAAAAGTCAATGAAGGCAGGAAATCACACAAAATAGATACACCTTAAACATTTCTCTTCTTTGTTTCCCTTCCCTTTGTCTAGCTCAGAAAGCTAATCTCATTTTATTATTCATTTTGATTACTTTTTCTTTTTACCTCCATCACCCTCTGATAACCAGCAACTTGTTTTCTGTGGTGGTGGTGTGTGTGTGTGTGTGTGTGTGTGTTTAGATTCCACATATAAGAGATCATATTTATCTTTCAAGGTCCATCTATGCTATTTCAAGTTAAAAGATTTCATTATTTTTTATGGCTGAACAATATTTCATTATATATAGAGAGAGAGGCCTGGTGCACGAAATTCAGCTCAGCCTACACCCTCTCCAATCTGGGACCTCTCCGGGGTGTCCAACTGCACTGCAGGCTTAGGCCTGATCCCGCAGGGCCTAAACCTGTAGTCAACATCTCTCTCACAACCCAGGAGTGCTGGCTCCTAACCACTCACCTACCTGGCTGCCTGATTGCCCTTAATAACTCTGCCTGCCAGCCTGATAGCCTCCTAACTGCTCCCCTGCCAGCCTGATTGACACCTAACTGCTCCCCTGCCTGCTCGATCACCCTCAGCTGCCCTCCCCTGCAGGTCTTGTCCCCCCCCCAACTACCCTCCCCTGCAGGTCATCTTGTGATGACGTGGGGGTGGCCATCTTGTGATGCGAGGGTGTGAGGGTCAATTTTCATATTACCTTTTATTATATAGGATAATTGGATTGTTTTTCAATATATGTTGAGCTGCATATAAAAAGGAATATTATATATTGTTATTTATTTTTAAAAATGTATATATTTTTATTTCATAGAGGAAGCGACAGGGAAAGATAGAAACATCAATGATGATAGAGAATCATTGATCGGCTACCTCCTGAATGCCCCCAATTGGGGATCAAGCCACCACCTGGGCATGTGCCCTGACCAGGAATATCCTGGTTCATAGGTCAATGCTCAACCACTGAGGTATAGTGGCTAGGCAACACTGTAATTTCTTAATCCATTTATACATTGATAGACACTTAAGTTCTTTCCACATGTTTTCTTCAGATAAATACTCAGAAGTGAACTTTCTGGTAGTTCTATGTTTAATTTTTTGAGGACCCTCCATGTTTTCCATATTGGCTGCATCCATTTACGTACATTCCCACCACCAGTGCACAAGAGTCTTCTTCATATCCTTTCCAACAATTGCTATCTTTTGTCATTTTGGTAATAGCCATTCTAACAGGTGTGAAATAATATTTGTGGCTTTGATTTACATTTCCCTGATGATTGGTGGTGTCAAGGATCTTTTCACATACCTGTTGGATACCTGTATGTCTTCTTTAGAAAGATATCTATTTGGATCATCTGCTCATTTTTAATTGGATTGGTTCATTATTTTGTTTGTTTTTTTTTTTTTGCTATTGATTTGCATAAATTCTTTATGTATTTTGGTTATTACCCCCTTATCAGATATATGATGTTTTTATAAGTAATAAAAATAGAAAATTTATTTAGGTTAATAGAAAAATCACCATTACAATATTAAAGTAATAATTGCTGCAGACATAACCTAGGAGTTTTATAGTTCAGATCTTATATTCAAGTCTATAATCCACTTTAGTTGATTTCTGTATATAGTGTAAGAGAGGGGTCCAGTTTCATTCTTTTTTACATGGATTTTAGTTGTATTAGAATCATTGTGGGATGGATTATTCTTTCCTCTTTGAATGAGGTTGGCACCCTTATCAAAAATTAGTTGACCATAGATGATGGGTTTATTTCTAAACTCTCAACTCTATTCCATGGGTCTATATGTCTATCCTTAAGCCAGTACTACACTGTTTTGATTACTTTAGCTTTGTAGTAAGTTTTAAAAATAGAGATTTATTTTCAAGATTGTTTGGTCATTTGAGTCCCCTTGGAATTCATATAAATTTGAGGATTGGCTTTTCCATTTCTGCACACACACTCAAAAAGCCATTGGAATTTTGATAGGGATTACAATGAATCTGTGGATGACTTTGGGTAGCGCTGACAACTTGACAACATCAAATCTTCCTATCCATGAATATGGGATATCTATATCTATATCTATATCTATATCTATATCTATATCTATATCTATCTATATATATATATACACACACACACACACACACACACACACACACACTTAGGCCTTTTAAGATACTTCTTGATACTCTTTAGAAGAATACTAATTCAGGCAGAGCTATCTGACTCTTTCTAAAATTTCTAAGGAATACATGAGAAAAAGTCCCAAATGTTGAATGATTACATTGAAACACATTTCCCTGCAATTCACAAAGCATCACTTTATTTCCATATAAATAACAGTCACTGATGCAGGGAAAAAACAAAATCATGACTGCCAATATTTACTTAGGAAACCGTTTTTATAGAATACAGTTGGAAGAAAATGGAATGCATCTTCAGAGTGGCAGGGGACAGAGGGACAGGCACAGCAGGTTGAAAGCATAAAAGCATATTCTCATAAGAACCAAGCAATCCTTGTTGTTGGAGGACCAAATAGAATCATCATTAATGTAAGTAGAATCAAAGTTCACGATCTGTAATTCTTTCTTAAGATATGCATGATTCAGCTTATTTACAGTTCGAGCAAAGGAATATTTAGAAGCACAACTATATGCTTCCAAACTGTACACTTTCTTGAAGTGCAGGTCAAAAAATGGATTGTCCTAGAAGAGAAAGAGAGACATGATTATGTTTGCAGTCAAGAAAAGAACTAGATTTCCTAGATTCTCTCAGATTCTTTTGTATATGCTTCTTGATTATAAAGAATTAGTACCAAACATATTTCTAAAATCTACACATGAGCTTTCCCAAAGCTACCTAACCTGCTTCAAACATATTGCTTCTAAGACAATCATAAAGATTATTTATGAAGCATCTGTAACTTTTCAGTTATACAAATAGACCATGTCTCAGAATGTGTAGTTATCAACTTTTGCCAGGGTAGTGAGTTTGAGAAGATGGATAGGAATGAAAAAAGAATAAACTCACTTATAGACTTCTGGAGAGGAGAAAATGTTTCTCCTTTTCTCTACTAGGAGATGGGTTCCTTGTACTATTTCAAAGGTAGAAGGGTGAAATACAGGATGGCTAATTAGCTTGTGGCATACCACAGATCGCCAACTTGCTGACTTTGAAGTCAATAGCAAATTACTACCTTTGAAGTTAGTAATAGGGTCATTAAATCATTGGACTGAAACAGAACAAAATTACTTAAGGCTGCCTCTAGGCTTTTTGGATTTCTCTAGGCTTTTGTTATATTTCTAGTGGATGTGTTTTGAGAAAAAGCAGGCATCAAATCTAATCTAAGTCTTGTAGGTTAAAATAATACTTGCTACCATTACTAATAACAGTAAAAACAATGCCTTGCATTTATAAAGTGCTTTTTAGTTTATCAAATGCTTTCACATTTATTATCTGCCTAACTCCCAATTCTCCTTGAGAGCAGAAGGTTTGAATTATTTATCTTTGTGTTCATGGCAACTACTAGGTTCTCAACAAGTACGTGTTGAACTGATCTGAAGTAGTTCCATAAAAAAGTAGTGGAGGTAAACATTGCCCTTTAACTGACAAAGAGGCAGAGAGAGACCAAACAAGAGTCTGAATAATTTGTTACTATGTAAACATTATATGAGACTTAGGTATTTGCAATTTCTTTTGGCTAAAAAATATTTTTATTGATTTCAGAGAGGAAGGGAGAGGGAGAGCGATAGAAACATCAGTGATGAGAGAGAATCAATAATTGGCTGCCTCCTGCAGGCCTCACACTGGGGATTGAGTCCATGACCCTGGCAGTGCTCTGAATAAAACCTTGATACTCAGGTTCATACATAGGTCGATGCTCAACCACTGAGCCATGCCAGCTGAGCTGCAACTTCTTTTTTAAAAAGGGACATTCTTGAATGAGGCAGGAAAAACAAGATGGGTTTTGAAGTTAAACTACCATTTTGAATCTCCAGTGTAACCACGGACAGAGTGCTTATGTGATGTGACCCTCACTTTTCTTCTCCTTTTTGAGAGGTTTGCTCTGAAATTTGCATGCATAGTATGGAGCTTAATAAATGATAGTTCCCTTTCCCAAATATGTCCCCAATGAGATTGTGATGCTGGTGTTAATACCACCTTGCTTCATACCATTAACAGAATTTAAAGCAACATTTAAAAAAAAAATGTACATGGTGATGTTAAGTGTAGTGTTCCCCTAGTCACATCTTATAAAATTTTCCCCAGATGTCATAGTTATAGTAGAGAATCTCAATAAAAGGAAATCATATCCATTCTATTACCAAATACTAATCACATGCCTTATATAGTTTATTCATTGAAACAGTTGAGTCTTATCATGGAGAAAATATATCTAATGCTTTTGAGATATTTGGAGAGAATTTTTTTCCTTTAGCCTAAAAATTGAAGCCTAAGCAGGCATGCACATAGAATACAAGTCCCTCCTTCCTCCCCTCCCTCCCACCTCTCTTCCTTCTTTTTCTGGGTAATGAATTTGAGAGTATGGGTAGTGATGAAAGAAGATACAACTACTTACAGACTTCTGGAGGGGAGAAAAGGTTTTCTCCTTTACTCCTTGGTGCCAAATACACCAAATTTTAAAAATAGGATTCCCCCTTTTTCCCACCTTTTCTTCTTTCTACCCTTTCTCCTTCTCTCCTTTCTACACACTCTACCTCTCTCATCACTTCTCTCTTTACCTCCCTCCTTTCCTTACACCCTCCTTCTTCCCTCTCTCTTTCTTGACAGAATCCTAGAACTAAAAGGGACCTCACATATCACTCAGTAATCTTTTGTTTGTAGCTTGGGTAATAGTTTCCTGAGAAGTGAAGCCCAGGTCACACATGAAGTTATTGGTAGAGCCAGAACAAGAACCAAGATTTTAGTTAACCCAATCTCATTTTTTTTTTTTTTTTTTGCTACATCATTCTCTCTCCTATTGCACCATGTCAGTCTCCAAATCCCCAGACATTTTGATGTCTGCATTATAAATTGACTTCCATTTTAATCCCATTCCTTTTTAAAGCTGACAACTCTCTGGCTCAAATTGCTCTATTTAAAACTGTATCACTGATATTGAAAAAAAATATAAACGCTGACTCTTAAGTATTTAATTTTAAGAGGAAGGAGAGTGGAAATTCCCAGAGCAACTGGGATATTTTTATTTCATCCATAGAAAATAAATCTTTAAGAGAACTACTCTTTGGATTTAATAGGTTTTCTTCCAGCAATTTAATGTTTTTGGTCCTAAAGTTAATAGAAAAATAGAAATAGTCAACTTTTAAAAATCTATCTATTTCACTGTCAAATATAATGATCTTCAAAGGGGAAAGAGAAGAATCAACATTGTCTGTAAGGAATTAAAGGACAGAAATGTGTGTAAAATATTCCAGCATATTGATTGATACGCAATAATATATATACTTAACTATTTCCTAATTATTTCTTAACATTTATGTAGAATGTATTATCAGAAAAATTCTGTATGGGTATTTAGGAAAGAAGCAATGAAATCCTGCATGCTTTTACCAAGAAGTCATGCTAAACATGGAAAATTTTAAATATAAGATTCCTAGGTGATAAGTCATGATAATAGCAGATAGTATACAGTATATTGATTTCAGAAAGGTCTTAAGAACACAATTAAGGCATTCAGACTAAATAATTAAGTAAGTATGGCAGAATTAAGGGCTTATGTGTGTCTAATTCTCCATGTGTAGCCTCAGAGCCTGGCAAGGCCCAATATATACCATAAATTCTCAATGAATGAGAGAATGTATTTGAATTTGTAGAGATGTTAAATAAGCAATCAAAACAAGACAAATTAACAGATTTCTGGGTAAAGTCTAGCTCTACTAATTAATAGCTATGTGACCTTGGCAAGTCAATTAATCTCTTTAGGATCATTTTTCTCCTCTGTAAATCAAAAGTAATAATAGAATGTAACTTATTGGGTTTTGTGATGATTATGTGGTACTTGATAAGAGTTTGCTAAGTGTGTATGGTAGCAGGTAGCAGTACTATTCATAATAGTAGTAGTAGTAGTAATGATAACTTATCAATTACCTAGAAGTATTCACTTAGCCCTTCCTGCTTCATCATTTTTATTATTGACTTGAATGAAGTCCTAAGTGTTGTGCTCATTACATCTGCATCATATTACAGAAAATATTTTAAAAATTATAATATTAGAAGATTTGATAGATGGGAAAAATAAGCCAGACTAAGAATATGGCATTTAGTAGGATTAGGAACAGATGAGTTTAAATTCTAATTCATCCATCAATAATACAGATAGTTACTGAGTGCCTAATATGTCAGGTTGAGGGCTATAGTAAAAGATGAAAAGTCATGGTCCCAGTTTTTTAGAAGCTTTCCATCCAGAGACAGAAAGAGCCAACAATTGCAGTTTGTCAGATTATGGCTATAACACACTTATACCCACAATTCAATGGGGGAGACACGAGTAGGACTTTACCCAATGAATCTGGGAAGGAGATGAGAGATAGAGGCGATTGGGCATTCTAAGCCTTGAGAGGCAGTAGTGAAGCACAGTGGATTATAAAGTTTAAGATAGGATGACCAGAGAGAAAGAAGTCAGATCACTAAGGACCTTCATTTAGATTTTATTCTATGTAAGTAGAGGGTATGGCAAGCCAGATTAAATGGCAATTCATGCACAAAAGACCAGAGGTTTCAAATAACTATTTAATAGAAATAAGGAATGCATGTCAAAAGAAATATAAACTAGTCACCCTAAGTCTAAAGTATTGCATTTATTCTGGAAAAACAGAAGCATTTCAAAAGAGAGAGAATAGTGTAGTGAAGGATATTGAAGCAATGCCATGGAAACAAGTAACACTAATGGTATTACCTCTGAGTGTTTACAATGTCCTGTCATATTGGCTTATGTGATCTTCATGTGAAAGTGATTTAAAGGATAACCTGGAAAAGAGAAAACTTGAGGGAACATTATAATCAACCCCAAGTATTGGAAAGGCTGCTATATGAAAGAAGGATTGGATTTGTTCTGAATTGCTCCAAATGGCAAAACTAGAACTGGCAGGTAGAGATTAAACATAAACAGGAAATTTAAAAATAAAGCATGTCAATGCAGAAATAGAATGGACTTCCTCATGTGGTAATAAGTTCTCCATTAGTATAAGAGTACAAAGGAGACTAGGAAAACCCCTTTCCTAAGAATTACTGATCCTTCTGGAGGATCAAGTGGCTAACTGACAGAGAGTTTGAAGAAGATGAGGGAAGGAATCTCCTAAACGTATGGTGGAAGTTGAGGGAGAGAGAGTGTGGTGGTGGTAGCACCATATATTTAACGTTTCTGAATTGATTGATTGTGTTTAACCTGTTAAGAAGCCCTTGGGAAAGATGCTTTTAAACATAATAGACAAAATTCTAATTTAAACTCATAAAAACAAAACAAAAAGCCCCCAGTACATCATCCCCGTACATTACACTTTATGACTTAAGAACAATATGTCATCTTAACACTTAATTACATGCCAAGAATATGTGAAGTAGGCTTATCGATCCCACATCTCCCTTATAAAGTGTAACACTTACAGTATCTGCTTCTTTTCCATCAATCATCTGCAGATCACTCAAAGACCACTTTTTTGTTACTTCATATTTTTCATCTAAACCTATTCTGTAGTGTTTCACTATAATTATTTTCACTTCTTCATTTTTGGTCACTGTAGGACAGAAAAACACTTAGTTTACATAAACTCTTAGAAGGTAAGTTATTTGTCATTATACTTTTCAATATTTATATATTCCTTTTTCTTACAATGAGCTTAAACCTACATTGTATCTGTACCACACTTATGAATCCTGATGTATCTGAATATTCACAAGTATGCCCCCAAATTTGCTCTATGTGTTAACTTTATTCTTGCTACAATTATGGTTACATACTGCACAATAATATCTGTCAGATAGAACACTGAGCTATGTGCTTTCAACTATGAGTCTTATGGGGAATGGGGTTCAACTCAGAGCAGGATATAAGAGGCTTAGCGTTCGCATATAGTGAGCCAAAGTGTTTACCAGAACAGGTTGGAATTTTAATTTACGGCAATATAAGTAAGTGAAGTCAGGAAAGTAAACAGTTCTGCTCATATAGCAACGCAGTGTTAAACAGTGACCATGCAAGTACTAATGTGTATGCTTTCTTTTAGAGTCACTGTGAGATTTCCAAAAAATTTATTGATTTTAGAGAAAGAGAAGGGGGGAGAGAGATATATACAGAGAGATAGAGATAGAGATAGATAGAGAGAGAGAGAGAGAGAGAGAGAGAGACTGAGAGAGAGAGCGAGCATGAGTAAGGCATTGATTTGTTGTTCTCTTATTTATGCATTCATTGGTTGATTCTTGTAGGTGCCCTGAGTGGGGATGGCATATAGGGACCACACTGTAACTAACTGAGCTACCCAGCCAGGACCAAAAATTACTGTGAATTTTTTTTATATAGAAATGTTTGCATCACAGTTACTATAGACCTATTTGAGATTTTTTAATCCTCTGTAGTGCACCCTAAAATTCTAGTATTCAAAATGTGTCACCGAGACAAAAAGTTTCAGTACTATCCTTTGAAAAGTGTGGCAAAACATTGCTTATATTATGTGAACAAAATTAGGAAATAATTTCCTGGCCTTAAAATCATTGTCTTTGGTCTCACATGAACATACAGAAGAGTCCACATTTAATGTTAGCAAAACTGAATTGAAAATTAGTGATGAGCTAATAAAAGAGTATTTATCTGATACAGCTATTAGAGATGCCACAGCAGGTAAGTATGAGACATGGCCTCTGTCCTCTAGAAATTTATGGTTTTGTTGGGGAGGCAAAACTAACAAACATGAGTTTCATAAAATATATATTATAAAGGTATGTAGGTATATAGAGCTGGCAAAGTCAAATATCTTAAACTTTCTTTCAAGATGGATGATGTCACTTGGAACATTGTAAGCTGGTTTTGTCTTTTAAGCGTGAAACCGGAATCTGTCATTAGGGAAGACTCTTGGCTCTAGATAGTACTACTTTGACCTGCCCTTCTAATTGAGAATGTATAAGGCATTATATTATAATACTATCATAGGGATAGATATTCCTATTGGAATATGTGATGTGGAGCAGACAGGAGTTCTGAGAAGGGAGAGACTTAGAATAGTTAAGGTAGGAATTATGAAATAAATACCATTTGAATTAGAGCTTTAAAATTAGTTCAGTTTGGAAAGCTGGGGGATGATACTGAGGGTATTTCTAGGTGAAGGTAGCAGGAGGAAATGAATGAAAAACAGAAGTGGAACTGCGCCAGGCAGAATTAGAGAAAGCGAACAACATGGCTGATGTTAGGATGTGGTGGGCAATCAGATTAACTAGGTTAAGAAGGTTGTGAAAATGTTTTGAAAGACTCTGGGTCTGAAAAGTGACAGGAACCACTGTAGACCTGTGGTGTCTGACCCCTGTTCTGGGAAGAGGGATGGGTGGCTGGCCTGGACAGTGAGCTCCAGCACTGGGGCTGGTGAAGGAGTAATTGTTCTCTGAAGGAGCAGGTGTACTGCTGCTAAGGCAACCAGTTGAGCTTAAAGTTGATGATGGGGCTCAGTTCAGTCCTCCGGAGAGATGAGTCTGAGAAGGTTGACATATCTAAGAAGAGGGAGCTATGTCAGGTGATACACAGGATACAGTGAAGAAGAAAAGAGATAGGAACTAGAGATCCCTGGGAAAGACAGTGCGATTTAACAGACGCTGGCATTAGACAGTCTGGATGCAGATCATGACATCACTTCTTGCAGTGTGGTCTGAGTAAATTACTTAATCTCTAGAAAGATTAATACTCAGTTTTCTTTTCTTTTAAAAAAATATATTTTATTGATTTTTTACAGAGAGGAAGAGAGAAGGATAGAGAGTTAGAAACATCGATGAGAGAGAATCATTGATCAGCTGCCTCTTGCACACCCCCTACTGGGGATGTGCCCGCAACCCAGGTACATGCCCTTGACCAGAATTGAACCCAGGGGGACCCTTCAGTCTGCAGGCTGACGCTCTATCCACTGAGCCAAACCAGTTTCGGCTAAAACTCAGTTTTCTTAGGTAGAAAGTAGACAGACATTAGGAACCCATAGGGTATAAAGATAAAAGATCAAGTATCTAAATGACTTAGGACAGTACCTGGTATATAGTAATTATTCATTTTGTTTCTTTATTATTATTATTATTATTTAAAAAATGTTTTTTTGACTTTTTTTCACAGAGAGGAAGGGAGAGGGATAGAGAGTTAGAAATGTCGATGAGAGAGAATCATCGACCAGCTGCCTCCTGCACACCCTCCACTGGGGATGTGCCCTCAACCAATGTACATGTCCTTGACCGGAATCGAACCTAGGACCTTTCAGTATGCAGACCAAGGCTCTATCCACTGATAGAGACTATTGTAACATAGGCATAGGATATGGGCTGTGGAAATAGAAGTGGTAAATCCAGGTAAGATTTCAAATGAGGCATTGATGACCATTCATGGAAATCAAAACAGGAAGGTATGGAGGTGAACTGGTTGAATGGAATAGTGATTTACTTCAGAAGAGAAGGAGTTGGAAGTTTATAATTTAAGAATGGGGATATGGACTTGAGATTTTTTTTTTTTTTTCTGTGTGGAAAGATTTGCAAGACCAGGTGTGTAAGAAAAAGAGCAGAAGAAAGAGGCGAGACAAAGTGGAGTAGAAAAACATGCCAGCGAAAAAGAGACAATCCTAACAGCACAATGATATGGAAATTGAGAGATTGGAATTTCAAAGACTTGGAGATAATCCTGTAAAGTCACTTTGTTGGGTAAAGCCAGAGTTCAGTCCAGGCACTGTACCTGACTTGGGAGCATCGTTGATTTCCTCCATATAAGCAATTTCTCTAGAACAGTGAAGGTAGAAGACAGCTAGAGTATCGTCAAAAAAGAAATAAGAAGAGACTAAAGGTTGTGATTTGCCATGTTCCATGGTAGATCACATAGTAGATAACATGTTCCAAGAGTTTGGAAGAGGAGGTATTGCATATTCAAGAGACAAAGACACTGATTGAGGGCCATGTCCTAGAGGGGATCTAGAGCAGATCTTAATCAGGAGTTAAGAAATAGCTTAGAATTCTAAAACTCTGCAAAAGATGGTAGGTTCCTGCCCATGTACATGTCTCCAGCGCTAAAAAAGCCCTGTTTGTAGACAAACAAGGCACTTGTGTCTGTCCAGACAAAGGCTCTGTCTCAGAACCAGAGGACAATGTTCTCGTTCTGCTTGCTGTCTCACTCACTACTTAGTGGGTGGGAGAGGGTGGGGATGGAGGGACGAAACAGGATATTATATGAAAATGTAATTTGAAACAAATTTCACTGCCTCATCCTCAAGTTATGATAATCAGCTAATTGATCATAGACACACTGATTCATTAATTTGATAAATGTCTGAGTGCCCTTGTGAATAAAGCCATGAACTAAACACTAAGCTAATGAATTCCCATAAGGCACCATTCCTGGGATTATAGGGAGTGGGGCTTCACACACAAAAAAATAATAATACATGATCTTATAACTTTGTAAATGATATAAATGTCTAAGCACGACGCTATACATCTGAAACTAATATAAAAATTTTTAAAACTTGAATCGGGCCAGTGGATTAGTTGATAGTAACGGGTTAATGCTAATTTCCTGATTGTGATGGTTGTATTGTGATTGTGTAGGATAGCGATTTTCAACCGGTGTGCCATAAGAATTTTTTAAACATACAATACCTGACTATTTAATCAGGGACATTGACCTCTTTTCCCTTAGATTGTCAAATTAAAAAAGGACAACAGCTATAACAACAATAGCCATTCAATGTGAATGAATCAAAATGATACCTATTATTTTTGTATGCAGGATCAAAAAATTATAATCTGTTCTTTGGTGTGCCACTGAATTTTAGTAATCAGTTTATGTGTGCCATGAGAAGAAAATGGTTGGAAATTGCTGATGTAGGAGTGTGCCCTTGCATGTTATTGCAATAATATACTAGTGTGGGCACTGGGTCATCATGTTGGCAATTTACTCTCAACTGTTTGAAGAAAAAGTTATTTGTGCAACTCTTATCGTTGCAACTCTTTAGTAAGTTTGGGATTACTTCCAAATAAAAAGAAAAATTATGTTTTTAAAAATAAAACACATGATCACAGTGCTGGGAATGAGGCAAGGACAGGAGAAGGGTCACCTTCATCCATCTGGTGGTCGGGGAGAGCTTCCTGAAGGAGGTCCTCTGAGTTGTAAAGGGCAGGGGGAGTTACAATGAAGAAAGGGTAAAGGAAGCTCTGGAACAACATATACAAAAGCATGAAATACTTGACACTTTTTAGTAATTACAGGTATTTGGTATGTTGGATTGAAGTGTGAGGGTGACTAGGTGGTATAAAGGAGGACAGAAAGGAGCAAGTTAGTCTAGAATGCTAGGTGAAGGAGTTCAGATGTTATCCTGAAAGCTATGTGTTTGTGGGGACTTAGGGGGAGTGTTGTCACGAAAGGATTTTAAGTGAATAGGAAGAGCTTTAAATTTTAGAAAGTTTTTTTTTTTTTTTTTTTTTTTTTTTTTTTGTAATTCTATAAAGAATTGGTTGGAGGGAGAGAATGGAGAAAGAGATGTTAAGAAGGTAGAATCTACCAGTTAACAAGTTTTCTTATACTTAATGGTCACTGTCCCACTAACACCAAACTAAGAAAATGAGAAGATGCTTTAAGTGTAAGTTTTTGGTACAATGATGCAGCACAGAGACAAATTATGCCTCCTTAATTTGGCAAAATATCCTCCTCTGGAGCCAACGAGGCTCCAAGATTGTCCTCAGCCAAGAGTCAAAGAAGTCTACTCATGCTGGACTGGACCCAATCCCTAATTCCCACACTTGAGCTGTGCTGCCAGCCAAAATTAAATGGCCATATTTACATTAATGGAGTGGGAAAGTGGAAACTCATCACATTGTCTTAAAACAGAAATGTGTTTATATAGTCAAATGCTAGAGAGTTGGTTTCAGGAACATCAGAGGTGACATTGAGTAATTATTACTTAGTGAGTAATATCTATAGACTTAGGAAAATTCAGAATGAACCAGCTCCAGTTTTAATATTTTAGTTAGCATTTTCAGAATTACAATTTTAAATTAGGTCCGCCATATATTTTCACTTTTGATTTCAAAATAAACATTATCATTAATAACTGCCTCTATTATCATGTTAAAATAGTCACTGCTATTTATGAAGCTAAATGGAAAGAACCTAGGCCAATTGAACAAATGGAATTTGTCAGACTGGAGGAAAAAGTAGCTCATGAGGAAACTGCACAGCAACACTTTAAATAAACAAATGACTTATTTTACAATCTTAGTGTTATATAATCGTTTCCATCATTGAAATTAAATAATAGGGGAAAACTACCATGAGTTATCAAAGACAAGCAGCTTCGTTGAAAATGTTTCAATGTATTGATGATGTCTTAGGGTCATTGAGGATGCTATTACTGATTTCATAAAAAAAGTGATTTTCATATAACATTTTTTTCTAGAAATATTTTTAAAAATCAATTTTGGGACTAAACTGGGTACTACAGATTGAATGTGTGTGTCTCCCATCACCAAATTCATATGCTGACATCCCAAACCCCAACGGTGATGGTATTAGGAGGTGAGGCCTTTGGAAGGTGTTTAAGCCATGAGGGCAAAGCCCTCCTAGTGGCATTAGTACACTTATAAGAAGATGTGAGACCATGCAAGGTTACAGGAAGAGGATGGCTGTCTATAGGAAGAGAGTCCTCACCAGACAGGGCATCTGCCAATGCCATGATCTTGGGCTTTCCAGTCTGCAGACTGGGAGAAATAACTGTTTCTTGTTTAAATGCCTCTAGTATTTTGTTTCTTTTTCTTCTTAACTTATTCTTTTAAAAATACCCTTATTGTACTATTCTTATTATAAACTAGAGGCCTGATGCACGGAATTCATGCCAGAGCAGGCCTTCGTTCACCCAGCTGCCAGCACCGGCTTCCCTCTGGCACCCGGGACCCGGGCTGCGCTCGCAGCTCTAGCTTTCATCCGGAAGGTTGTCTGGAAGGACGTCCAGTCTAATTAGCATGTTACACTTTTATTATTATAGAGGATTTGACAAAATTGTTAGATTCTCTGGTTCCCAGAGAAGTAGTCCTTCTGTTCTGGCATCATAATGTAATATGGGTGGGGAATTTATGCATACTATTTTCATAATTCTAGTAAATGCCAAGTTAATGTATGCAAATGAAAAATGTCTTTCTAAGTATATAAAAATACTTTAAAATAGTCTATCATGTTTGTTTTTCCCATTTTATGTGGGTATAATTTTTATTTATAAAATATGTAATTTAATATATAATGTTTTTCTTTTTAAAAATGTATTTTATTGATTTTTTACAGAGAGAAAGGGAGAAAGATATTTAGAAACATTGATGAGAGAGAAATATCTATCAGCTGCCTCCTGCACACCCCCTACTGGGGATGTGCCCGCAACAAGGTACAAGCCCTTTACCGGAATCGAACCTGGGACCCTTGAGTCCGCAGGCCGATGATCTATCCACTGAGCCAAACCTGTTAGGGCAATAATTTCTTTATTACATATTAAAGATATGCACTTATTATATTAATGTATATTATTACAGTATATTTTATTTTTATTATACTTATCTACAGTATATTTATATATTTCAGCATATGTTTTCACAGTAAATAGATTTTTTTTATATATTTAAAAAATATAACCCAACTTTTTATTTTATTTATTTGGAAAATAATTTATCATGTTTGTTTTTTCCTACTTAGGACTTAACAGGAGAGCACTATTAGTATGTGTGATGTAAGTGTTATTATTTCCATTTCAGAGATGTCTGAGGCCAGAGAGGTTAATTATTTTGTCCCTAATTTCAAACAGGCAGGTAGAGTCCACTTCCACATCAGTTCTGTCTGATTCCCAGCCTTCCCAAGGTTCATTGCACCATGCCCTGCTGCTTTCCACTTAATTATGGTTAATGTTTTATATGCCATTTCAAGGCCTCCAGAATTTCTTTGATTCATTTGTACTCTCTCTTCTAAGTGCCCACACATAATAGAATTCCTCTCTCCTTCATAAGGTGCTGCTTTTAACTGCCAGGGAAAATGATGTTCTAAACTGGGGGAAGCTATTCTCGAGGACAAATAACCATCAGACCCTGAGGTGGGAGGCTACTAAGATGCCAAGAAATCCTCAATGTAAATCCCAGCAAAGTACAGAGGGGGTGATTGAACATATGGTAATCTGCTTTTTTACATCAACCAGGTAATGTATCAAAATAGCAGCCAATCACACGCATCTGGTTGTGAGACCCCTACAAATGACAGGCTCCGATCAGCTAAGCAGAAAATTTAACTTATTTAAACATATCTTCTTTAAATTTTGAAAATTACATGGTAGGATTTTGACTAGTCCAGACGTGCAATTCTTAAAAAGTTAGACCTGCTGGATTGTAGGGTATAAAAGGAAATCACAAGTATGCATCTCTCTACTCCCTGGAGGTGACAAGCATTCAATATCTGGAGTTACTTGCCTCAACAATTGTGATCTGACCTGTTTGATTCACATCAATGGCAATTTTCTGCGTGAAGCATGGTCAAAGATTTAGGACTGTCAAGCATTGCATTGATTTTGCCTTAAATTACTGTTCTGTCTTAATGTATTTGAAATGGTCATAAAGAGATGTTGATGTTACATTTGGGGAAAGTGCTTTCAAATTGATGAATGTGAAGTAGATCAGAGTTGTGAAAAGTTAGTGAGCTAACATGATTTATAATCTTAACTTTTCTCTGGAATATCACAATATTGTCTTCTTTTCCTCATATCTGAGAGGACCTTGTTTTTCCTTGTTTCTTACTTGACAGAATCATTGGATTTTACTAAAGACAGTGATCACCTACTTCATTTGGTCATTTTCCAGATGAGAATATTGACCCTAAAAGGAGTTGCCTTCAGACATGTTAATAATACCAACTCCTTGACCTTCCAATTCTATTTAAAAGTTTCATATCATTTATGAAAAAAGGCAGCAGGTGACCTCAGCCCATAGTGTCTTTCTCAGAGTTCAAGGATGCTGGGAGGGGCGGGGAAATCACAACCATAGCCAAAAATGTAATTTGAGACTTTTTTTCTTCTTAGAAGAAGAAGTTTAGTTAATTATATAGTTGGAAACGGGCATTAAGATAAGTTTGATAACTTAGATATATACATTATTGCAATTATTTTTAAAAGTTTTTCTTTAAAAATACTTGTATACTAATGTTACATGATGGGTAATTAGCTTTATAAAGTAGAATCTCAATAGGTATGAAATTATTAAATGTTAATGTTAGAATAAGTATATTTCTAACATTAAGTCAAAATAATTTACCATTTGATGGTTAGGATACAATACAGTTTCTAAAATGGTACCATTTCTTTCTGTACTTTGAATTCTTTTCCTGGGCCTGTTAAGCTTTTTACCTTGCTAAAATGCAAAAAAATTCCACATTTTGTACTTATATATAGCAAAACATGCTAGGTCAAGTGTTAGATTTATATACATATCATGCTTTTTATTATTGAGTGAGTATTATACTTACTAGAATTAACGGAATTCTTAACACTTTAAAAAAGATGTTTTACTCCCTTTAGAGTACTCTCTCTTGATACCATTAGAAAGTTCTTCTAAGCCAATTACCTGGAAGGGGATGATAAGTTGTTTTCTGAAAATGCTGAGGTGTGTGCCTTACAAAGGGAAGTTTGCAGTGAACACTTAGAGTTTCTAAGCTCTTCGCTCCTAAGCCCCTGGAAAGTATTAAAAGGCATGGGCTGGGGAAAGGGAATGCTGTACATTACATGCAATAATGGCTCGAGTGTTTCTGTCTAAACTCAGCACAGAAATTACTGGTTAGGCAAATCATACTCACGTGCAAAGGCCTCTTTCTACCTTTGGACAATTTTCACAAATTTTAAAACCACAGAGAAAATATTTTAGTTAAATAGTTTAGAGGAAGTAAAAGTTCCATCTTCATGAGCTAATTTCTACCATTAAAGTATTATTTCTGTGAGCATTATTTCTACTTCTACTTCCTAGAAGAGAAAACATTTTAGAGATAGTTCTCTATTAAAAGTAAGCCCTCAGAAGAAAACCCAAGATCTTTTTTCTTTCCTAGCATGCTAAGAGAGAGCCCTAGTTGTCCAGACTCGGAGATGGAATTGTATAACATCATTCTCCAACGTATTTGAAATATACAGAGAGCTCTCCTTTGCATTTTTAAAAACTGCACGCCATGCAAGTGAATTACATAAAAGACTGGAAACAAAATAATAAAATCAGGAAAACTACATACCCACTTTCACTTCTGAACAATTGGCCAAAACATTCTTATTACAGTACTCTCTTCTGTCTTCCATTGTAGCACTTACAAAATTCTGTAGAATCCAAATTTTTAAACTGAGCATAATTAAGTGCTATCACGAAAAGATAGACGTGTTGTGATTGTATAGGAAAACAAATCCAAAATATCACCCAAGCATCTTGGGGTTCGTTACGTACAAAAGTGGTAACAGAAAAAACATATTACCTGACACACAGAGGTAGTACCTGTCCTGGACCGAGAGCTCGATTTGGATGAACTCGTACAGATTCTGCGAGAGCGGCTTAAACAGTTTCTTCTCCAAGTCCTCCTTGACGAGGGATGACATTTCCTCCAGCTTCCCTTGGCCTGATATCTTGGCTCAGACTCACCCCTTCTCTCCTTTTGCTGCCTGGATTCCTCCTTTTGGTTTGCAGCTCCTCAGTGAGCCCTGCCCACCTCCCAGCTCCCAGCCTCTTCACATCTCCTTCCCGGCCAGACCCAGGCTCCCGGAGCGCTCAGGCGGTCAGACCCCTCGCTGCGCTGCGGTATCTGCTCAGCGGCAGCAGCAGTACAAGCAGCAGCAGCCAAAATACAGCAGCAGCACTGGCCCCACCGTCACTCCTCAGCATCCAGGCTCAGGCAGGCTGCTCTCTGGAGCTCTCCTGTGGTTTGTTGACGTGGAACACATTTATGAGCACCGGCAGAGAGACTTGTGGAGTCCCTGGTTCCTCCCTTGCCCCTTCCCCATGACTGTGCAGGGGAAGCCCGCTGCCTCAACTTGATTCTGTGATTGATATACATCAGCTGCCTGACTCTATCGATGGGGATCATCTTCCATTGAGGACTTGGTAATCACCGGCAAGAGAAAGAGCACCCGTGTTTGCTCCTGACACTTCCAATTCTCTTTCCCTCCTTTCTTTCCCCTCTGGCAATTCATTTAGACCTTTGTGCCTTTTTCTTTTCTTTTCTTTTCTTTTCTTTTTTTTTTTTTTTAAGAGAGTCAGCACCAATTCCTCAGTTCAAACAGTTTTTTAAATGGGCTCACTTTAATGTTGTTTATTTCCCCACTCACAAAGAAAAATGTACCAGGTACTTACTGGGGAAAAGCATTATACAATAGTTGCTTCTTGGGAGCGTGGTTTCCTCTCCTCAAGGAGAGCGTATAATCTGCTAGAGAGGAGCACCCAATAATCACAGATGCTTCCAGTGACAAATGGCACAAAGGAGAAGGGAACATAGAAAAGATGCTTGAAAGCACCAGAGGAATGTTCTCTGGGAGAAGAGCTAGAGCTTGCAGAATGCGAGAAAGTATGGAGGCGGGGGAGCGGGCAGATTCGGTGGAAGGAACACTGTGAGCCAAAGCCCGGCCCCGGCAGAGCACAGGGAGTGTTTGGGAGGACAGGAAACAGCCCAGTTCTCCTAAATTGTAGCATGTGTGAAGGCAGATAAGGCCGGAAAGATGAATTGGGGCCCAGCATGCCAGATTGATCCTTTGGACTTTATTCTGTAGAAGTAGAGCCAGGGATGATTTGGGGGGTATTCATTTACTCAACAAATACTTTTCAAGGGTTGAGTCTAGGAACTGGGAATATTGGGGGGGGGGGGGGGGGGGAGGGGGAAGGGGGATAGAACAATTAGTTGCTCCTGTGGAGCTTAGTGAGGTGGAAAGAAGGTAAAGAAATAAACAAGGCACTAGTCCATTCGAGGGCCACTCAGTTGTAGACAACAGAATACCTGCCATAAAGTTGCGAATAGAAAAGATTTTAAACAATCTCTCCTGATAAAAGGTCTGCAAGAAAGTGGCCCAGAGTTAGCTCAGAATGAGGGCCTCCAGTGCTTTCCATTCTGCTCAGCCTCCATTCTCAGAAGCGGGCTTTCCGCCCTCAGACTGTGGCTGTTCAGCTCCAAAGACAGGAGGAAGCGGCTGGGAGTGAGGAGTGGCTCCACCTGACTTGCCTTTTTGTCAGAAGCAAAATGGTTCCCAGAAACCAGGCGGCAGACTGGCCTTTACATCTCGGTGCCCAGGAAAGCAAGAACTTGTCAATTTTGACTCCTCTTAAGGGAAAGGGGATTTTTCTAACTTGGACGAAGGCCAGGGTACAAGGGAGGAATTTTTTTTTTTTTTTAGTTCATAGTTCATATATTTTATTGATTTTCCACAGAGAGGAAGGGAGAGGGATAGAGAGCTAGAAATGTCAATGAGAGAGAAACATCGACCAGCTGCCTCCTGCACACCCCCTACTGAGGATGTGCCCTCAACCCATGTACATGCCCTTGACCGGAATCAAACCTGGGACCTTTCAGTCCGCAGACCGACGCTCTATCCACTGAGACAAACCAGTTTCGGCGAGGGAGGAATTTTTAATATCTACTGTTTCACTAGGGAGGCCCAGCTCAATCCACCATCCTGGGCAAAGTACTGAAGCACGTGTCTGTGTAGAGATAGCCCCGCTGGGGTGCATACAGGGCGTCAAAGTCCTCAGAAGAAAAGACTTCCCTGCATGTAAGGCTCATATCTGAGGAACTGAAGCCTGAATTCTAACAGACCCACAACCAGAGGAGTGGACTATAATTTCTGAGTCTAAAAAGTAGTCCAGATCCATTTTACTTTTACTAATTTTTAGGCCAGAGACTGAGGAACAATTTATTTATTTATTTATTTTTTAATTTTCGGCTTGGGATCTTGCTTTAATCCCTTCCCAACCTAGTCTTGAAAAGTTTTACATTCTCATGCTACCACAGGATTATTTATTTGCTTAAAAACATCTGGGAGTAACTGTCCTCTGAGCAACAGGATAATAGTGTGTGCATTTCATTCTCTCTTTTGCACATTCACAAATCCTAGGAGTGGTGGGCTTACACAGAGCTCGATGCTAAGGCACTTAATGGGGCTCTGGGATTACAGAGTTGGCCTACTTGAGAGTCCGTTGAAGCAAAGTTCTTTTCAGGGCTTCTCGGTAGGTGCACAGGTAGGTAGCGGTGAATACTGTGAAAAGAGGCCCGGCCCTAACTTCTTTGTGTTCTTTCAGACCCACATTCCAAAGTGCTTTTGCTTGAGCAAAAGGCTGTGGTTGTGTATGCCCTCACACCCTATGTCATGGAGGGGTCTCCAGGAGACCAGGGAAAATACTATTTATCAGTGCTTACCAATGCTGGGCTCCGTTGCTGGCCTCTGAAATAGACATTGTTTAATTTAATCTTCCAACAGAGCTAAGAGGTAGATCTATGATTGTCCCTATTTCCGCTCCGAGGAAACACAATTCTGTGGAAACAGGATAGCTCATCTTAAACCTCCACAATGTTCACATCTGTTCCACATTTATTGCTCTTACCTTTGGCAATATGTCTTTAGAGGAAAAATATTATTGTAACAAAATGTTTTTTATCAATGAAGTCCTGAGCTTGATGCCATTTTATGTGTGATTATATAACATATAATACTATGCTGTGTTTCTTAAAATTTTATTATAGGAATCAGGACAGTATTGGCATAAAAATCTTTAATTTCTGTTGCACCTCTACATTCTGTTACTGTATCATGTTGTTGTTTGTTTAATCCAAGAAATATCTGTTCTTTAATCAAAGTGCTTCCTTGGTTCTAGTTCAGGAACATTGTGTGTGTGTGTGTGAATATGTACAATGAACTGAAGATTTGTGTGCTCCCAAATTCATATGTTGAAATTCTGCCCCTCAATGTAGTGCATTAGAATATGGGGCTTTTGAGAGGTGACTAGGCCATGAGAGTAGAGCCCTCGTGAAAGGGATTAGTGCCTTATAAAAGAAAGGGATTAATGCCTTATAAAAGAGCCCCCCGAGAGGGTCCTCCATGTGAGGACACAGTGAAGGAATCAGCAAGCAGGTTTTCACCAGATACCGAGTCTGCTGGTGCCTGGGTCTTGGACTTCTCAGCTTCCAGAAGTGCGAGAAATAAGTATTTGTTGTTCAAGCCACCCAGTCCCTGGTATACTGTTATAGCATCCCAAACCGATTAAGACAGTGTGTGTAAGTGTGTGGGGGGGATGATGTGGCATAAGTTACAAATGGATGTACTTAGTGGGGTGTTTTCTCGAGTTGCCATTTGTTTTCTTCTAGTTTTGGACACTCCAGACAGTCCCATAAGTCTGACTGCGGTAGGAGTTGTTAGAGAACTTCTTTTTGTGGCCACTCATCCTTGACACTGCAGCACTCCACGCGGAGGACTTGCTGAGATCCTTGATATCTCAGGCTTCAATGTGTCACCAACAGTGCAGACCGCGTCATGGCCAAGCTTCCGTGGTTCACGGTCGGTGCTGGAGTCCTCATTGTTGCTCTGAGTCAGCCAGGGAGGGGGAAGCTTTCCTTCGGAATGTGCTAGCACCATTTAAAAACTCTGGAAAATAAATTCAAAAAAGGACTCTATGAAAATGTAATTTTTTTGACAAAATATATATACCAATCAGTTTTCAGGGAAGATTTTGTCTTTTTATACAATTTTATAAACATTTAAAGACAGGTTACAAAAAAAAGTTTGTATTTTCTCCTGTATGCTACAGAAGAACACTGAGAAGATGTTTTTGTTTTTTTTTCTATTCGGTCCATGGAATACACAATATATGTTCGTTAAGAGGCTACTTTAATGTGTTAAGGTAAAAAAAAGTTATTTCTATCAAGTGACCACCTTTGTCCATGCGAAAATATATATAGCAGCTAGGCAGATATTTTCAAGTAAATTTTTTTCTTATTTTGGAGATAAGTGAATTGCAAATTAGTTATTGTTGAGAAACTCATAACTTGTTACATAACTGATAATAGCCAATTCATAATAAATGCTAATAGTTATATGTACTTACTATGAGCCAGGCATATGTTAGCTCATTTAATCCTCCCAACAATCCTATGAGGTCGGTATTACGTTTTGCAAATTGCACATCTGAGTAAACTTGTGCCCAATGTCACATTGTGGTGGAGCTGATCTGGATGTAAGCAGTCTTGCTCTGTAATCTGTGCTCTGAACCACTTGGCCATCCTGCCTTGCTCCCATTTGACCGAGTAGTATTTCAAAACTTTGCATCAAAGTCATAAGCGTATTTCTTAGGGCATTGTGATCTGTACATAGAGGTACCATATTCTTGTCTCAACCTTTTTTCCAGTTATATCTTCATTTTTACACCTTTCAGTTCTGTGGGTCCACAAAGATACCAGTAGTTGACGATTAGGAAGAAGGAGGTCCTCTCGTAATAGGTGCTTAACAAATGTCTCTCAAATGGATGAAAATAGAGTAATTAGTGTTAAAGAAAGGTCTTAATTTTTCCTTTCCTCTACTAGCACCCACGAATGAAATGGGACATTTCAAGGTCAATATAAAACATGCAAATGCTATCTATTATTTTTCTTTGCCAGACACGCTTTCCTTTCTTCTGGTAGAAGAATCCATCTTTTCTATGCAAAAGCCGTTCCAAGTGTAGGGGTGGGGCTGCTCCCCCTGCAGTTTACTTGACCACAGCATAGGTGTGAGCACATGACCCTGTCCTGGCTTAGCTAAGCAGATCCTCCTTCCCCTGGTCACAGTGATTGGTTCAGGACTCGGCATGTGAGTCCAGCAGGATGGAACCTACCTTAGGGTCCCTTAGTCCCAAATCACACCCTTCCTTGCCTTGCTTTTTTGTTTTTTAAAAAATATATATTTTATTGATTTTTTTACAGAGAGGAAGAGAGAGAGACAGAGAGTTAGAAACATCAATGAGAGAGGATCCTTGATCAGCTGCCTCTTGCACCCCCCCCACTGGGGATGTGCCCACAACCAAGGTACATGCCCTTGACCGGAATTGAACCCAGGACCTTTCAGCCCACAAGCCGATGCTCTATCCACTGAGCCAAACCACTTTCGGCTCTTGTCTTGCTTTGTGATCTTGGAGCTGGGC